CTCCCTTTGTTTCCCCATAGTTTGATTTGTCGGGGGCGCCCCGCCACAATATCAAAACTGACTGCCACAAATAGATTTTCCAAAAGGCTTTGACTTATGGCGTTGAATAAACGTAACCACTGCATGTTTCAAAATCAGAACCCGGCACGGGTGTTTTTATATCACTGCATCTCTGAAGGAAACCGACTGTCTTAAGAAAATGTTTGATGTAATTTTCAGTTCATCTCGCATGGAAGCATTGCTTTGTGTACAGCCGTTACCGGGGAAACCTCTATCTCTGCCACACTAAAAGCACTTCCTGCTGGCACAGAATGAATTTGCACATACACACACACACACACATACAGTCATGGCCAAAAGTTTTGGCAGTGACATAAATTTTGTGTTTTGCAAAGTTTGCAGCTTAAGCTGTTGTGGTGTTCATTCACATTGTTTCTAGATTATTGTATAAAGTGATCAGATGCATTTTAAATAATTGCTAAAAGCTTCATTAGCCAAAAAAATTAACTTTTCACAAAAAAACTAATTTCACTGTTTTTTGATCCTGACACAAAATGACCAGCTAACATTAATTGACTAATCATATCAGCAGCACATGTGAAAGTGTGAATGAGTACTAGTCAGGTGAAATCACTATCATAATAATTAGATTATAAGAGCAGACTGATTGCTATAAAAGGAGGGAAGAAGTGCTTCCAATCATTGTGTTCTTGTTAGCAATGGTTAACCTCCAAAGAAACACGTGCAGCCATCATCGCTTTGCATCAAAATGGCCTCACATGCAAGGAAATTGCTACAAAGAATATTGCACCTGAAAGAACCATTTACCGGATCATCAAGAACTTCAAGGAGAGAGGTTCGACTGCAGTGAAGAAGTCTTCAGGACGTCCCAGAGTGTCCAGCAAGTGCCAGGACCGTCTCCTCCTGAGGAGTCAGCTACGGAATCGTGTCACCAGCAGTGCAGAGCTTGCTCAAGAATGGCAGCAGGTTGGTGTGAGAGCATTTGCACACACAGTGAAGCCAAGACTTTTGGACAATGGCCTGGTGTCAAGAAGAGCAGCAAAGAAGCCACTTCTCTCCAAGGAAAACGTCAAGAACAGACTGTTCAGGAAGTACAAGGATTGGACAGCAGAAGACTGGTGCAAAGTTTTTTTTCTCTGATGAAGCTCCCTTCCGACTGTTTGGGACATCTGGAAAATCGATTGTTCGGTGAAGGTAAGGTGAACGCTACCATGAGTCCTGTGTTGTGCCAACGGTGAAGCATTCTGAGACCATCCATGTGTGGGGTTGCTTTTAACCAAGGAAGTGGGCTCTCTCATAATTCTGCCCAAAAACACTGCCATGAATAAAGACTGGTATCAAAACGTCCTGCAAGATCTACTTCCAATAATCCATGAGCAATTTGGTGATGATCCGTGCATTTTCCAGCATGAAGGAGCACCATGTCACAAAGCAAGAGTGATAAAGAAGTGGCTCGAAGATCATTACATTGAAATTTTGGATCCGTGGCCAGGCAACTCCCCGGATCTCAATCCCATAGAGAACCTGTTGTCAGTCCTCAAAAGGCAAGTGGACAAGCAGAAGCCCACAAATTGTGATCAACTCCGAGAACTAATAAGGCAAGAATAGATTGCCATCAGTCAAGATTTGGTCCAGAAGCTAATATCCAGCATGCCAGAGCGAATTGCAGAGGTTATGAAGAACAACGTTCAACACTGTAAATATTGACTCATATTTTTTTTGCCAATAAAAGCCTTTAAACTTATATGCTTATCATTGTTTTTCAGTATACCATAGAAACATGTGGGAAAATAATCTACAAATACTGAAGCAGCAAACTTTGCAAAACAAAAAAATTGTCACTGCCAAAACTTTTGGCCATGACTGTACATGCTCTCAACCAAACTAACATTACTAGCGAATCAGAATTTTTTGCTCTTATAAACACGAGACGTGCATAATAGTATCCAATTGCGGAGTCGCAGCCCTGTTTATTGGTTGAAGTGTGACACGTTGAAAAAGCTGCGAGGCGCAATGTTTAAAGATGTCCATCCAGCACATATTTACATAGAAAAACTAATTAAAAAGCAGTGGAGTTTTGTAAACAGCTCAGAGTAATCATGTCGTCTCCATGAGAACAATATGATTGCCAGAACAAATTTACCAGGATTTTTTGAAAAGGTCCTGTTCACACATGATCTCTTAATGGTAACTTGCCGGTAATTTACCAGTAAAGACTGTATGTGTGAAGCCCCTGCTAAACTCTTCCTCTGCATATGCTGTGAATTTGAATTGCTTAATGTTCATCTGGGAAAACTGTGCATTATCTCACTAGATTTGCAACGCAAATCATTTATAAACCTTTGCCAACACCGGAGAATACATCAACCTGTTTCTAAATATGCCATTTATTGTACATCGCAATTTCAAAATAAAAGTTTCTGCATGTGGCCAAATATTAAAATTTAATAAATTTAAAGGGGTCATATGATGTTGCTAAAAAGAACATTATTTTGTGTATTTGGTGTAATGAAATGTGTTTATGCGGTTTAAAGTTCAAAAAATGTTCCACATACTGTACATTATTGTTTCTCCTCTATGCCCCCCTTTCTGAAACGCGTCGATTTTTACAAAGCTCACCAGTCTGAAAAGCGAGGTGTGCTCTGATTGGCCAGCTATCCAGTGCATTGTGATTGGCCGAATACCTCAACCGTGTGACGGAAATGTTACGGCCCTTACCATACTGTGATGCCGTGTCCCGGAGCGACAAGACAAAAACATTAAAACCCATTATAAATGAGGCATTTGTTGCATCCAGTGGGGACATAATTATGGATTATAATGACTTATACTGTCTTTTTACGGGTTGCGTTGCATCGCGCCGCGTAAACATAAAACCATGTCTGCATTTGTGATCGGAGAAATGACAAATAAGCGCTACTCTACACTGCTCAAAACTCGCGTTTGAATCATCAGTGGCAAATCCTTTAAATTAAAACTAATTTACAGTCTGTGAGTCAGAACAGCCAGCATTGAAGACTACTCTCCCAGGATCAGGAAACAGTCCTCCATAAAATGCGCTGCACACAATTTAATATTTGGGTTGAACTGTTCTGGAACAGTGTTGTAAATACAACTTAACCACTGATTTCTAGTCGTGTCCTCTTTTGGAAGACCAAACAAAGTAGTTTCGCTTTCACAACGAAACACATGGCGGGCAAAGTAGTTTCGCTTTCACAATGAAACACACAGCGCCTTCACGACATGGCGGTGGCGGCGGCTGCAACAATACTACAGCAAGAATAAAAGTTACGCCGCCTTTCTTTGCGTGAACATTTGGGCGGCGTTATGCAAATCTTCCCACATCCTGACGTAGACATGTGGGGGCGTGTTAGAACGAGTCTCTGCAGGTATTTGTTATAATACATAATGTACTTAAGTTAAGGTTATGTTCATATTATGTATAGGCATATTACATTATGTATTTTAACAGTGTTGTTCAATAAAACCATGTAATTACTTGGTTTTGATATTTTATTTAAGCCAATTATTATTGCTTCATTAGTTTATAAATAGTCATACTAAAGCCTGGTTTTCACTTAGGTCTGTTTGTGTTACTAAAAAATATTTACTCAATTGTCAAAATAATCAGTAGATTACTTGATTACCAAAATAATCATTAGTTACAGCCCAAGATTAGTTAAAACATTTCAAAATACAACTGCATTGTTTTACTTTGTAATATTTTTTGTAAAACTTTGACATTTTGTCATTGAAATTTTTTTTTAAATAGTATTAAAATATTGTCTCATTCTAGTGAACCAAGTACAGTGGGGAAAAAAAGTATTTAGTCAGCCACCAATTGTGCAAGTTCTCCCACTTAAAAAGATGAGAGAGGCCTGTAATTTTCATCATAGGTATACCTCAACTATGAGAGACAAAATGAGAAAAAAAAATCCAGAAAATCACATTGTAGGATTTTTAAAGAATTTATTTGCAAATTATGGTCGAAAATAAGTATTTGGTCAATAACAAAATTTCATCTCAATACTTTGTTATATACACTTTGTTGGCAATGACAGAGGTCAAACATTTTCTGTAAGTCTTCACAAGGTTTTCACACACGGTTGCTGGTATTTTGGCCCATTCCTCAAGAGCAGTAATGTTTTGGGGCTGTCGCTGGGTATATGTGCAGTGTAGCATTCTTAGAATAGAAGTGAGAACATAGCGCTACCCCAGATTTAGATGCTGATGTGTTTGTTCTTGCTGCCTCCACTTATATCCCAGATGGATCCAAAGCTCAGGCCCTCATTCCCAGATATAGTAAAGAGGCTGGAAGAAATCCAGAAAAAGCTGAAAGCTGATGAATCCGAGAGGGAGAGAATGCTACTAACCGCCGGAGAGGTGGAGAAAAAACCCTTGCCTAAAGGTGTGTTTATTCACACACACGCACAAACATGTTTATTTCACTCCCAGTATTGATTTGTCCAACTATGTTCATTGTTCATTGTTCATTCACTATTTCTGGCACTAAACCAAAAGCTTTGATGTGCTTTGAACACATCTTTGATGTGAGTTGCTTTGACAGAGAGCTAGTACATCCTGTCGTCCCTGAGGCTTTGCTCATACCATCCAGCACTCACTTTCCATGTAATACCGCAGGGCCAATGAGTTCTAAGAACAAGGAGACTGGAAAACAAACGGGATTGGAGACCGTAACGCTATCTTGTCTATGAGCTTTATGGATTGGATGTTCTTTCCTTGTGAGAATTACTTTTAATGCACAGCTTTTACTTTCTTCTTCTCTTCTTCGCAATCTCACAGCCCAGTTTCCGTTTAGTGCTAATTCATATCCTGAACAAACAAGGAATAAGTCACAAAACAATGTGTGGCTAGAAGAGATTAGCGCCTCATTGAGCCTCATGCTTCAGATACACTACCATTCAAACGCCTGGTGTCAGAAAGATATTAACACTTTTATTCAGCCAAGAAGCATTAAATTGACGGTAAACTACAAAATCTTTTTTTTCTAATTAGTATATCAAATTTCTACGACATTGATATATTTTTATTAACAATATAGGATGAGGCAATACCATTTATATTGATATACAGTAGTTTGATGCATGTTGTACTCACCATGTAGAATTTTAAACCTACAGGTAAGTGTATTTTTATGATAGCAATAACTGTAAAGTGACTATTACAATGGAGTAAATCAAATATAGGCTAATATAATTACAGTGTTTGCATGAGTGTTCCTTGTACCAATTAACATTTCACCTGTTCTTTTGTTTTTATATTTTATTTATTTTTAATGATGTGATTTTAACCCCTGCTTTGAAAAAGTGTTTTCTTTTTAGACTGTAATGTTATGTTAGAATGTAATGTGATTTTTAACCCATTTTTGAACGTAATTTAATAGCATGTCCTAGGTGGTTTCATTCACTATATTTGTTTCATAGCCTCTAGTATACACTTTTTAAAATTCTTTATTTACATTTAGGATGTGAAAAAAAGTCTAATAAATACAGAAACAAAGATAGCTTTTTTTTCCTGTTTGTGTGTGTGTGTCCATATCGCTCATTTTTATTTTTTATTTTTTTTGGGTTTTTTACTTGCTATTCATCAAAGAATTCTGAAAAAAATAAGAAATCTTATTTGAACATTTAAAGGAACACTCCACTATTTTTGAAAATAGCCTCATTTTCCAACTCCCCTAGAGTTAAACGGTTGAGTTTTACCGTTTCCGAATCCATTCAGCCGCTCTCCGGGTCTGGCGGTAGCCCTTTTAGCTTAGCTTAGCATAGATCATTGAATCTGATTAGACCGTTAGCATCTCGCTCAAAAATGACCAAAGAGTTTCGATATGTTTCCTATTTAAAACTTGACTCTTCTGTAGTTACATCGTGTACTAAGACTGACGGAAAATGAAAAGTTGCGATTTTCTAGGCTGATATGGCTAGGAACTATACTCTCATTCTGGCGTAATAATCAAGGAACTTTGCTGCCGTACCATGGGTTCAGCAGGCGCAATGATATTATGCAGCGCCTGAAAATAGTCCCCAGCTAGGTAACTTCCAATAAGCCTATTTTCAGGGGATGCGTAATATCATTGCACCTGCTGCAGCAAAAAGTTCCTTGATTATTATGCCGGAATGAGAGTATAGTTCCTAGCCATATCAGCCTAGAAAATCGCAACTTTTCATTTTCCGTCAGTCTTAGTACACGATGTAACTACAGAAGAATCAAGTTTTAAATAGGAAACATATCGAAACTCTTTGGTCATTTTTGAGCGAGATGCTAACGGTCTAATCAGATTCAATGATCTAAGCTAAAAGTGCTACCGCCAGACCCGGAGATCGGCTGAATGGATTCGAAAACGGTAAAACTCAACCGTTTAACTCTAGGGGAGTTGGAAAATGAGCCTATTTTCAAAAATAGTGGAGTGTTCCTTTAAATCAGCATGTTTGCATGATTTCTGAAGGATCGTGTGGCACTGAAGACTGGAGTAATGACTGCAGGAAATAATCAATTTAGTACATTACAGGACTAAATTATGTATACCATAATAACATTTTATATATATATATATATATATATATATATATATATAAATATATATATATATATATATATATAAATAAATTAAAATATAAAACTGTTATAAATTGATAAAATTTCTATACCCAAAACTTTTAACCTGCCAACCTTGTAATGCTCAGTTTCTGAAGTGTTTAAATGCATATAGGCATGTTTTGCACTTCATGTACTGTATTTTTTCTTTTCTTTTTCTCAGTGCTGTGTGCTTTTGAGTTTTGGGATGTTAAACATGATTAAGGGCTTTGCCTTCCGCATATTCAAATGAATATTAGATTTTGTCACCCCCTAGTGTTCAAGATAATTATTTCAGGCTTAAAAGTGTCAAGTGTCAATAGTCAATACTATTTGGTGACTAGCAAAAATATTGTTTTTAAACAGGTTTTCGGAACATTTCTTGCATCTATCATTGATCAACACACTCCAAACTCACTTCATTGGTTGAGCCAGTGTTGTTATATCAGGCTCTGGTCAATATGCTCAGACTAACACAGCAATGTTTTGATAGTGCTACAGTGTTTACACTTGTCAAGTGAATTAATAAATATCAGTATATTAGGTCATGCATTTGGTATAATCATAACATCTGTTCTTACAGTATTTATTAATATACAATACCATTCCAAAGGTTTGGGGTCGATAAGATTTTTTTTCCATGTTTTTGAAAAGTCTCTTATGCTCACCAGGCTTTATTTATTTGATCAAAAATACAGTAAAAACAGTAATATCGTAAAATGTTGTTACAATTTAAAATAACTCTATTCTAATATATTTTAAAATGTAATTTATTCCTGTGATGGTAAAGCTTAATGTTCAGCATCATCACTCCAGTCTTCAGTGTGACTTCAGAAATCATTCTAATATGCTGATTTGCTGCTTAAGAAACATTACTTATTATCAATATTGAAAACAGTTGTCGTTTTCATATTTTTGTGGAAACGGTTTGTACTATTTTCTGGTAAGAACAGAGAACTGCGTTTATTTGCACTAAAATCTAGGGCAACAATCATAATCACGATTATTTTGGTCAATATTGTAATCACGATTATATAACACAATTATGAGGGGGCCATATGACCAAAACGTTATATGAGTGATTTATTTAAAGCTAGTGATACATATCAAATATATATTTCCTGTAAATAAGGTTGATATGACATCTACATTGTAGAGACCAGCGAAATTTCACATTTCTCAATACCACAGCAGAGTATTAGGCAGCTAGCCTATTAGTAACAAATAATAAACAAACAAAAAGTCCTCAAAATTATTGAAAACAATTAAACTGTCAGTAATAAAAAAGCAAAGGACAAATACAATAGAATAAAAAGGTACAAATGAAACAAACTGTGCTTTAATCTTTTCTTTTCTTTTTTATGCAAGTCTCAAGCAGTTTACAGCCTACTACAGAAATTAAATGTAAAATAAAACGGCATAGTCTTCACTGTAGGAATGAAACTGCCTTTGTTTTTAATAAAGCTACAAAAGTCCTTCAGTCAAGAGCAGTGAGTGATTTTGAATTTGTCTTTTGTTGTTTGATTAATATTAAGCACACAGTCGCAGCAGGAATATTAGCCCACTGTCACTTTAAGAGCCGCACGGATCCAATGTACTGTTACACGCGTATTTTCATTCTCAACTCTTTACATTCATTAATTACATGACCGACGAAGGTATACATGAATAATCACTTAGCGCCGCATTTTAACACATTTTTGCTCCGTCTCTGAGCGCATATATCTTCCTGAGGAGCAGCGCAAGTTCTCTTTCACGCTTTTAAAAACATGAATAAATATACTTATATAAATCAAGCACGTCCCATTCTGCAAAAGTCACGTTACCTGATTTGACTGATTTGCACGTGAAATTGGGCTTTTATGGAGGAACGAACGCGCAGCGCTGGATAAGGGGGCGGAATGGGGCGCAATAATCGTTTTATCTCGATTATTGTATTTTCATAATCGTTGGAGGCCGAAATCGAAACTGTTTTTCGATTAATTGCACAGCCCTACTAAAATCTTTTGTATCATTTGAAATGTCACTGTTGATCAATTTAATGCATCCTTGCTGAATAAAAGTATTAATTTGAGTAAACAATAATAATAATGACTGACCCCAAACTTTGGAATGGTAGTGAAGGTTAATTTATATTGAGCTAAAATGTATTAGTATATAAATGACTATTAACAATGAACAATACTTGTAAAGCATTTATTAATCTCAGTTCGATAATGTTACCCAATGTGCCTAATGCCTCTCTTATTGGTGTTCTAGGTCCAGGTGAAAAGGGTATAAAGAGGTTAAATCCTCTTGTTTTTCAGGATGACAAGATTCCACCCAAGTCCCCCCGTCCACGTCGAAACATCTGGCTTTCCCGTAGCCAGTCTGACATTTTCTCTCGTAAGCCTGCTCGCAAAGTGAACGTCCAGGACCCTTACTACAACCCAGGACCTAGGGGCTTCATACACGGGCAACCGAAAGTCAACCCTTTCAGTGCCAGAGAGGACTTAAAAGGTGGCAAGATCAAGTTTTACGACATGCCCAGCAAGTCTGTCTTCTCGCTCATGTTTGATTTGCATTCACCTCACGGCAGTCAAAGCTCATACCAGCCTCATCCCAACATCAGCATGGGAGCCTCCGGAAACAACTGCACCCCATCCTGGCCGGAGACCTGGCAGCTGCCAGGTCGCCAGTGCCACTCACTCCCCGTCTCTCCCAAGCTGCCCCACTCGGATGTCTTCTTCTCATCTCACCCCACGTCCAAAAGCGAGGCTGGACAGCCCGGCGGTGAAAGCAAGCAAAAAGCATTGAGCAGCAGGGCTAAGAAGTACGCTGTTACCGAGATCCCTCCGTACAAACCGCGAGCTGAAAGACAGGAGGAAGTGGGAGCTGCAGAGGACTGGTCGTCTCTGGTACCCTCTGAAGGAGGAGAAGCGGAGGCCATGGACTGCTCCAGCAGCAGAGGAAGCTCTGCAGACAATAAGGACACAATCCTCAGCCAGATACAGAACAGAAGCCTCAGTGGTTTATGCGAGGACATGGAGGCTGAAGACCAGGATGGCTTGATGATCTCCAACAAGAACTCGCTCACGCTGAGCATGTCTGTGGAGCCACAGGAACTCTGTCCATATTTTTTGAAAATTTCATTTCCTTCTTTTGGTTCATAAAAGCAAAAAGTTGAGCCAACGTCAGGAAACGTGATGTATGTGCGTTCATTCGGAGCGGTGATTAGCTGCCGTCAGTTTTCTGAGCTTTTTTTCCAGTGTTATTCATGAGAATGAACTCTTATTGCGGAGAACTCAAATCTCATGAAAGAGCTTCGGGCTGTCAGTTCATTTCTGTAAACACGACCGTAACAATATTTAGGCTAATAGGCGATGTAAGGCGTGGAGCGCGCATGAGAGAGCCGTTTCTGGATCTAACAACTCTTGATGCGCGGATTATAGTTCATATCTGGACCGGAGCAAGCGTGTTTAATGTTTATGTGAACATATTTAATATTCTCTCGTGCTCCGAACATGAACGAGCACCGTATATGCGCACATATCATGTCTTCTTCAAATAAAAGATGCGCAAATACAGCTGTGCAAATGATCATGAACGCGATGAGGCGACAGATTAGTGTGATCCACCGCAAACAATGATCTATAGACCGAATAGATCTTACCGGTTCAATAATACTCACTTTATCATTACCCTTATAATAAGAAATGCCTTGAGCATATTGTTTGTTGAAGTCAAATCCGTGTTGTACAAGGAACTGCACTGACTGAGGTTCAATGATGTATTCCTCTGAACAAAGCAAGGTCAGATTGTAAACCTGGACCAGGTATGTGCTGTCCGCCTAGAAACATGAACAAGAATCAATGAAATGTCCATTTAAATAATTGTATAAGAATATAAAATAAATGTTCATGTTCGAGACTTACTTTGTTGTCAAGCTTTTTATAACAAGCAAAGCCCAATGAAAGTATGGACAGTGTGCGAGCTGCATGGCATATGGCTTTGTACCTGTCTTCAATGGATCTTGAAAGGAAAGAAAAAAAGTAAAACAGAAAAACATTACCACTCCTCCAGTCCTTTAGGACACTGGGTAAGAATATTTTACTCCCACAACTCACTCAGCTAGAAGAGCTTTCCTTGATCCAAGACCACTCAGTTCCTACAAGAGGCCGCATATATGAATTACTGTTCTATTTCAAGAATTTTACACTTGAATTTTCACATTCGGTTGAGATTCTAAATACAGAATGTGCTTTTTCTTACCGTATCAATGGCGATGAATGAAGATGTTTTAACGGCTATCACCATTGCTGCCCACAACTCTTTAAAGTTGTTTCCCTGTACATCTATAACGGGGACTATCATTGAGGATGACATTATATAAATTCACCAGATAAACTAACATCTGCTAAACACAGCGATTTTCAGCGCTCTAAGTCACCGCTGTTATTTATCAGTATAACAAAATGATTTTGCTGTCAACGCAGATACTGTAGATATGCTGAAAATGTCATTTCGGAGAGCAAAACAAATTATAACCAAAATTGTCTATAATATTGTCTAGTTTTCACGTCGTTCCGGCTACTCCTATATTTACTCCTTAAACGTCGTAAATTGTCGTAAATCTGTTTTCGCTCGTGTATGTAACATGTGAGTTTGTAAACATCCGGCTGGAGTTTCTTCTGTTTTACGAAGATTGGCATAAGGCGCGTTTCCGTCACCTACTGGACTGGAGTGTGAAGTGCATATGAAAATATAATAAATTACCTAAATAATATGAATTACTTTAAAAAGGACTTGACAGATTAAGAAAATAAATAAATAAAAAGTAAAATAAAATTATATATATATATATATATGTATGTGTGTGTGTGTGTATATATATATATATATATATAAGAGTTCAGATACAAAAGCCTCTAAGTGCTGTCTGAAATTTCATCTAAAATGAGCATTTTTATCAGGCTCCTATATTTATGTTCATTTATTTCACTTTAATGGCATTGAAAAGGACCTATATATTGACATTAAAGTACAATTACTGAACCTAAACATGGGAGCCTGACAAAAATGCTAATTTTAGAGGAAAGTTCAGATAGTACTTAAGAGGCTTTTGCATCTGAACTCTTCATATATATATATATATATATATATATTTATTTATTCTGTATTGTTGTTGTTTTGTTCTGTCTCTTACATCCTTTGGACTGTTGCGTAGTTTTTGTTTTGTATTTAACTGTTGTTACTGAACTAAATCCTACTGAACCAAAAAAAATACTAATAATCAGGCCAGCTGAAAAATTAAATGTAATCCGACATGAATCTAGACTTGAATGAGGAACGTGTGGTAAAAGCTAATTTAAACTATTGTTTTGCATCGTTCATGAAAATAATAATAATAATAAAAATGTTAACATTATTTATCCCTTTGTCACAATTTGTGCCAAATGTAAACGAATTTTATGCAGGCATATCTAAAGTCAACTCGCAGATAATACGTCATCAAGTAGCCTACCGACGGTACCGACGCCATTGACGCCATTTTGGCTCAAACAAACTCTACATTTCACTTACTAGTAAAACATATTCGTCTTAAGAAATCGCATTTTATACTCAATGCATTAAAGAGGCCGACCGTAAACTCACTGCGTGCGTCTGCTAAAATAACTGCCGTATCTTTCTCTAAATTGTAAAGTATTTTTAATAATACACCTGCTAAATCCTCTGCTAGCAGTACGTGCCACCGTTGTTGTGCCCAGATGATAAGTTAAACATTTGGCGAATGTAAATAAAAATGGGTGGATGCTCCGCTCCAAACTGCTCGAACTCTACAACTATTGGAAAGCAGCTCTTTCGCTTTCCGAAAGACCCCGTGCGCATGAGAAAGTGGCTTGTAAACTGTCGGCGTGATTTTGTACCGACTCCCTGCTCCAGACTGTGCCAGGCAAGTGAAAAGCATGCGAGTATTAAATTCTGCAAAAGACAACAATGAAGTCATTCTTCTGGCTTCCTTTTGGTGTAATCGTATATGTGTACTTTTGACACAAAGCTTCATTTCCATGACTTGCAGGACCACTTTGAAGAAAGCCAGTTTGAGGAGATCGCCAGATCACCAGCAGGGGGAAGGAAACTCAAACCCAACGCAATCCCCACACTGTTCAATGTACCCGACCCTCCCTCTCCTGTCACCCCTCAAGTAGTGTTACCTGTTAAAAATGAGCCAGGTAAAGTTATTAGTACGGAGCCTCAAGGGGACAAGGTGATGGAAAAATATAAGAAGGGAGGAACGTTTATATTTCAATGCTTTTAGTTTTTTTCCCCTCCCATGTTGTTTCCCCCAATCCCCTACTCTGTATATGTGACGCTGGAACACAAAACCAGTCATGAGGGTCAATTTTGGAAATTGAGATTAATCTGAAAGCTAAATAAATAAGCTTTCCATTGATGCATGGTTTAAGATATGACGGTATTTGGCTGAGATAAATCTGGAATATGAGAGTGCCAAAAAATCAAAATATTGAGGAAAATCGCCTTTAAAGTTGTCCAAATTAAGTCCTTAGCAATGGCCTATTACTAATCAACAATTAAGTTTTGATATATAATTACGGTAGGAAATGTACAAAATATCTTCATGGAACATGATCTTTACTTAATATCCTAATGATTTTTGGCATAAAAGAAAAATCGATAATTTTGACCCATGCAGTGTATTGGTGCTATTGCTACAAATATACCTGTTTGATTTATGACTGGTTTTGTGGTCCAGGGTCACAATAATTCACTGAAAACTTAGCATTTAAAAAAAAAGCATTATGTGCTACTGTATTTATTTGTGTATGTTTGGAAACTTACTTATATGAAGGCATCTATGACTAAATACAAAAAAATAAAAAGTATTATTATTTGTGATCCTCGTGCCATTCCAAACCATTTTGCTAGGTTTTCTATGAAAGTTTAACCCTTAAATGAATAAATCAGGTCTTTAGTGAACCAGGACGTCATCCTCCCTCATTCCTTTTTAATGTTAGACCTCCACCTTCTTAGTATTCCTCAAAGTATTCATTATCAATAAAATGACAAGGGGGGAAAAAATTATAATAATTTGTAAAAGAATGTCTATTTTCTGTTACATTTTTTTTTTGGTAAAAATTTCATAGGGTCGCTAGTGACCAGCGATGTGTAATAGTGTAAAGTATATTTTTTTCTGTCCAACAGTATTAAATATCCAACATCTCAATAGGTGTAAATCACCTTTTAGACATCCATCCATGTTAGTTACGCATTCAAGCGTTAAACAGTTATTTTCTGTACAAATCATTGTCATTAAGAGCAATGATGAACATTTTGGAGATGAACAGTCCCTTTAAGGTCACTTTGTGAGCTGCAAATGAACATATTATATTGTTAATGTAGTGGAAAAGGACTTGAACATGGGGGACCATGGATATGCCCGCCGACAGCCACCTGTGGATTCAGAGGAGGATGGGGTTCAGAGGACAGACGAGGAGCAACCCTGTTCTCTCTGCCAACATTATAAAACCAAACTGGAGCAGCAACAGCAACACACAGTCAGACTACAGAGAGAGGTAACATTCATTCTAATAAATCATAATAGATTGTACATATTAGCGATTGAAAGCACATTTTATCATTTCTTTGTTACACAGGCAGAGGAGATGAAGAAACGTCTTTACAAACTGAGTAAAATCGAGAAGGGGCTACAGCTGTTCCTGTTTGAGGATCAGATACGCGCCCTAACGTTGGCCAAGCGTTCTCGGAGGGCAGTGTGGTCCCATGATACTTTACTGACAGCCCGTAAAATCCGCTGCGCAGTGGGGGTTAAAGGATACGAGTACCTAAGGGAACTGGGCTACCCTTTACCTTCTTACAGGACGCTTTGCAATCGGCTGGAGCCCAAAATGATGGTGACCACGAGTATGCAGGACGAACTGGCGGAGCTCGGCCTGGGCATCATAACAGCTTGTGACAGTCCAGAGGGCAACGTGACGAGTGATGAACGACTGATTGGAGTCATGACCTGAGACACTGTTTGTGTAAGAAACTGCACTGATGCTTGACTGTTAAATCAGCCAAAGGCAAAGCTACGGCAGGACTCACAGAGGATGTTTGTTTGCTGGGTAAAGTTATTTTGGGTTGTTGTTGTTGCATTTGGAAACCATTTGCAGAAATACCACAACAGTCTGGAGATGATTCACTATTAGGGTTGCAAAAAAGGTGAAAACTTTCCAGTAAATTTCTTAAATATTCCAGAAATTTTGGAAACTTATCAGGATTTTTTGGAATATTCCAGGGATTTTTGGAAAGTTTCTGGAAATTTACCAGAAAGTGTCCACCCCTTTGCAACCCTATTCACTATTATGTGTTTTCTTTAAAGCTGCAGTCCGTAACTTTTTTTGGTTAAAAATGATCCCAAATCGATATTTGAGCAAGTACATAACCAGCCAGTGTTCAAAACTATCGCCTTACTCTAGCCCGATTCACACCGGTTAGTTTATAATAATGTTTTCTAATTTGAGTGGTACGAGTAGGTTTTCACGGGAAATTCGAGCATGCTGCTGCGTCATTACGTCATGTCTGTAAACATAAAGAAGTTGTCCCAAGAAGTTGAATAGCCTTTTCTCACAGCAGCCAGAATAATTAAATGTCAAAAAAATCACATTTTGATGGTGGATTGTAATCCAGAAAGGATTATATGAAACATGTGAATGAAATTAAATTATATTCCAGTTTTAAATGTGCTTCTGATTACAGATAGCCTGGGATTTCACACAATTTGTATTTTAAAGAAAACCAGTTCAAAGGGAGCATAGTTTGATTTTAGGGTTAAAATAATTTATTGGTATAAAATTAGAATGGTATTACAATTAGAGATTAGACTGTGCAGACATTGAAATCTACACACACACTATACTCATAGTCACGCAATTCTGATTAATGCTCTGAGAATAAAGTATATCAATAATAACAATTTGCACGGTTTGATGTGATATGAGCTAATCGATCATTAGATTAAATCACCATTGGTAGCGCAATTTATTTTAATTATTTTTTCCTCGGTTGGTCAGAACAAACGTGGCAGACTTGTTACTTGTTCAGATGACAATATACGGTGAAAATTCTTATTTGGTCATGTATTCCAAGACGAAGGCTAGAATCTGTGATTACTAAGTATAGGATTCACACCGGTGCGGTGACTGACTGTCACACACAGCCTACTCCTCAAAACATTAGAATCATCCACGCTGGAGCTGTGCCAGAATACAACCCAGGCAAGGAAGATAATTCCGCACACAGCTGCAATTCCAGGTTTTCAAACAGAGATGGCGACTGCAGCTTTAACAAAAATACATATTTTGGTCTTGCTGCATCTGGCTGTGTAGTTGGAAACACTTGATGCAAGTATTGCACCTGTTACCTATTTTAAGAAAATTGAGGTAAACTGTCGGTGGAGTAATTTCAGCTGTTCGCAGAATCATAAGAATGTACCCTGAAAACCAAATGTTATCACTCTAAACTTGACTTTTGCTACTGAGACAAAGATATTAGAAAGTTTTTGCTTGTTTCTGTGAGAGGAAGTTGACAAATGGGACTTGGTAAATGTCACTATTTTAAAGTGGTATATTGGTAGTGGTGTGGTTTTAAAGTGGTGTAAATCTGGTGCACGAGGTTAGTAGCCAAAAAGATAGCACATAATTATAGAGCCACCATGCAAATGATTCATTCAGTTGCCAAACTGAAGGGAACTGTTCTGAATGATAAACTTCTCTTTCTGCAAACCAGAGTTTCTGGTTTTATATTATGTTTTTTGTGTTCATGTTTGCCACCCCTGTCTGTACAGTTTTATTTCAACAGCTGTTTGATGGATCCCTTGTCAACTGTTTGTTTTAAAGGCATAGTTCACCCAAAAATAAACTTTTTTTTTTTTTTACTCAACCACATGTTGTTCAAAACCTGTAGGATTGACTTTCTTCTGAGGAACACAAAACAATGTTGGGAACCAACGGTTTTTGTTGGCTTTAACATTTTTTATGGTAAAAATGTTTACGGAAATGTTCAAAAAACATTAATAGGGATATTTGAGGAACATTTAGGGTTAAACCAGTTTAATTAAATAAAAAAAGATTAATTAAAAGAGAAAAAACACTGGATGTTTAGTACTGGGGGGACCAGTTAACTTTTGTGTTGGTGTTCTGTTGGAGTGTACTGAAGGTTGTTACTCCATGGATTAAAGTGTGTACTTTGGCCCAATCATTTCAAGGATAAAACACTGTTGTTTGCAAAACTAAAATCAATTCCTCTGCCTATGGGATGGTGTAAGATCTTTCAAGAATGTTTTGTTGAGAGTAAATCTCAGATTGTTAACTTTGGTGTATTTACAGCAAGGCCAGACAAAAGAAAAATCGTTTAAATCTACTTTATTTTTTCATTTATTTTAGCATGTGGTGCACATCCGAGACCCCTGGTCCTGTGAAAGTTCCTGTGGTTGTTAAGGGAAAGGAATGAGCTGACAAGTACAGTCACATAGATTTTAATATCTATGATGAATTACTTTTCAACAAACCTATAATTGGAAAACACTGGTCACTGAGGGATCCATTGCATCATTTCAACAGGAAAGTAAATTTACAGATGCACTTGTTTTTCACATGATGTGATCACTGAATGATTAGCTCAAGCAAACAGTAACAAAAACTGCCAGGGAGAAAGAAAATCTAATAAAATGTGCATGAACCGGCCCCAAGATTTTAAAGTCACTTCAGTATTTGCAGATCAATTTGTTTAAATCTTTTTCCAAATGTCAACTCCATATCCAGAATGTCAATCAAAGCATTGCAGCAGTGTTAAAACAGCATTTTGACACTTTAAATGTAGATTCAAAACATATCTAATCCAAGAATGTTTGTTGCATGGTTACTTGCATGCTTTATACCTCTCTTAAGTCTTTTTATGTAAAAGGGCATACAGAAGCTTTAATCATTTGTATATTTAGTGAGCTGATGTAAAATATTATTACCCCATGGCAAGGTATGACAAAATTTGTTTCATGTTAAAAAAAAAAAAAACTCCCTAAAATCTTGTTCAGTTTGTTATCAGTCAGTGTGTTTATCTTGTATTCATATTTATTTTGGATCACTCACTTTGTAGTACACCAGTCCCCGATCCCATCTTTTACTGGTTTGTTTAGGGGGAGGTTTGTCCAGATTGAGACCTTTAAAAGTGTGGACCAGACAACTTCTTTATTTTTGACCCAGAGGAGGCCAAGGGACAGAGCTTGAGGTTTGTGCAAATCATGCCAGTTTTGCCTTTTTGTTAATGCGTGTATAGGATAAAATGAATGTAAAACTAACTAACGAAACATCAAAGTAATTGATTGTGTAGTACTTTAGTTTGATGAGCTGGTGGTTTTTGTTCGCAGCTATTGCGGAGGGTGAAGTTCAGCAGGCATGATGCAGGCTCTCTGGGCTCTGTGGTTGTCTGCTTTTACAGCTCTGCATTGCGCTTCACCACTGTTTTTGGAGAAGGAAAGCACTGGCTCCAGAATCTGTAAGCCTGCTCCGAAGTGGGAGATCGATGGCGAGATTCCGATGAAGGACCTTCTAGGAAATGTAGTTGTTGTGGCTCTTCTTAAAGCGAGCTGACGGTTCTGTCTCACGCAGGCTGCCAGGTGAGAGATCTTGTGCTGTGTAATTTACTGGCTTATTCTTTAAAGTGATGCCTTTCCTAGTTAGAGATTTTTACAGTCAATATTTAACAAACAAGAAACTGTAATTATAAAGAGCTATTAGAAAGAGACAATACTGATATTTCTACACTTTTTAATGGGAGAGTTCACCCATAAAATGACAGTTTTATTCACTAGGGTAACACTTACTCGCCCTCATGTCGTTCCAAACCTGTATGATTGTCATTCTTATGTTGAAGGTATTTTGAAGAATGCTGGTAATCAAACAGACTTCCTACTATGGAAGTTAATGGGGATCAACAACTGTTTGGTTCTTCAAAATATCTTCTTTTGTGTTCAACATAAGAAAGAAACATACACAGGTTTGGAACAACATGAGGGTGAGTAAATGATGACAAAATGTTCATTTTTGGGTGAACTATACCTTTAAATTTGTTTACTACTATATATAACATTTAAAATTGCCTACTATACAAAATTGTAACAGGTTTAACATTTAAAGATTTTTGCCAACTGACGAAAGTAACAAAACAATAACACACAGTGCAGAAAATTGTGACTTTTACTTATGTTTCATTCTAAAAAGGATAAGGCCATTATGAATTTTTTGTTTTTGATTAATGGGATAGTTAAAAAGAATTAACTTTTTATGTATTTAAAGAATAAAGACAAAATAATAGCCTTTATTTGCATTTATTTATATACAAGTTTTAGTATTTAGTAATCATACAAATTAAAGTATATAAACATTATCAAATTAATAAGAATATATAATAAAAATACTATGTATGTGAGGGACAGAAATGACAGCCAATTTGTATAATGACCCTCCTTATTTAAAGTGACTGTTTTTATTTCTAGTAGAATTTCAGGGTTTGTGCTGCTGTGTACTAATGATCTCGGTAAACGGCTCAGTCAGTTAAATCTGCTTGTGTTCTCTTCCTTTTGTTTCGGAAGGTTGGGAGACCTGAGTAATTTGCAGGTTACGTTATAAAACTAGGCCTAAAAACAGATTAGCGATCATAATTTAAATTTTTACCCAGTTACTCCTTTAGTTACACCCGTTTCAACGAACTCTCTCGCTGTTCTCAAATGCAACCGGTGGATGGCGCTGTTTGGGCATTACTGAATGAACATCAAGCGCAATGGTAAGGCATTTACGCTTAAAATAGCCAACAGTTTCTCAAATATTGATAGACTGATTAAAATAGGCTACTTTAGGGCTTGTTTTAGTTTATTTGTTTGCTTGTTTCTTATTTTCTTTTTACAATATGTCCATACATTAACAAACACCGGGTCTCTTTCATTATTAATCGCTCAGGTGTCTGTGTCCTCGTCGACATGGCAAAGGTTTCAGATATTTCTTTCACCAATGGGTCCTAGAAAACGGAGGTATTTTTCCTATGGGATGATATTAGACTGTAAATGAATAATAGATGCACGCACAATTATCCATGCACTGCATACATTTTATGTATCTTATTAATCACAAACAAATGCCTTTCAATTTGAGTCTGTGGAATTCGGGATTAAATGATTGTGCAGCGATTTGTACAAATACAGACATGTTTGCGAATAAAAATGTGCTGTTCTGCATTCATTTATCATAAATTGCTCAAGCAAAAAGGAATCCGTGCATATGTGGATCAGGTGACACGCGTGCATTAATTGATGTCTAGTTCGAGTCGATCTTGTTCGGTTCATTTGAATTTTGAGACTTCATTTTGCATTTGTGGATCAGGTGACACGCGTGCATTCATTCACTTCTCTTCTGAGTCAATTCTATTTGATTCATTTGAATTTTGAGACTTTCCTTCCGCCCTTTTAGCCTTGCCCAATCCACACACACACACACAGCTCGCGATCCACGCGCAGCT